AACTCTAACTTTTCCTAAGTTTTCTAGTAAAAATTATGCATCCTAGCATAATGAGAACTGAAGATCACTGTACAGGACTAATTAAATTACAAAAACAACTAGGTAAGTAATGAACAAATGCCTTAAGCCAAGTTTATCTGCTGCCTCTACCGACCGCCAAGTAACACCGATTACCAAAACTTTTTCGCGACATTATCCGAAAGCTGTGATAGTATACAGTCAAACTATCCACAGGCGGAAATTGTCTTTTTAGGCGATTTCAACGTCCACAATATACCCTGGCTGAAACACCACAACAAAACAGATAACGAAGGCAGAGAAGCAGAAGCTTTTGCCATAAGTTGTGGTCTAACGCAGCTTGTCGATGAACCTACCCGTATCTCAGAAAGGGGCGAATTTGCAGCACTTTTAGACTTGTTCCTAACCACCAATCCTGACTCGTACACAATTCAAGTAGATGCTCCACTTGGTTCGTCCGATCATAAACTTATAATAACAAAGTGCGAAATGCTCATCCCACCAAGCCTACAACCACTTCCTCGTAAAATGTGGCACTATAAATCGGCAAAATGGAATGACCTAAAACAGTATTACCTGGATTTTCCATGGCAAGAGGTTTGCTTTAAAACAGCTGATCCCACTATTTGCTGTAATGAAATAACACAAGTAATCTTATCTGGAATGGACGCATATATCCCACATACAACTAAACGTAGAGCTAATGCAAAACCTTGGTTCAACAGCCAGTGTCAAACAGCTGTACAGAAAAAACACAGAGCATATAACCTTTGGAAACGACAACCAACCGCTCAAAATCACACAGAATTTATAGAAGCCAGAAATAGTTGCAAAATTACTATTGACTCCGCTAAAGAAACATACAATCAAAGAATAAAAAACAGGTTGCTGAATTGTCCAAATAGTTCTAGGTCTTTTTGGTCTCTTGCAAAAGCTGTTGGATCTAACTTCACCAAGTCATCCATACCACCACTTAAAGATAAAAATAATCACTTAGCCACAACATCAGAGGAACAAGCCAATATGTTTGCCCAAATGTTTTCCTCCAACTCCAACCTAACAGTGCCAAACGGGAAAACTCCACCGTTCATTGAAAGGGTTTCCCATAGTATGCCAGAGGTACCCTTTTGTCACAGAGAAATACGAAAATCCCTAAAAAAGCTGGATACAAACAAAGCAATGGGTCCGGATGGCATTCCCGCAATAGTACTAAAAAATTGCGCCAACGAACTCACCCCAACTTTCGCAAAATTATTCAATTTGTCTTACAGGCAAGGAGTATATCCATCATCATGGAAGTCTGCCGCAGTACAACCCATTCCAAAGAAAGGAAAAAAGACAGATCCGTTAAACTATAGACCAATTGCTCTACTTCCGGTGATATCAAAAGTAATGGAAAGAGTTGTGAACAATCACCTAACCAAGTACTTGGAAAAGTACAAAATTATCAACGATAAGCAATACGGATTTCGAAAATATAGGTCAACTGGCGATTTACTTACATACGTCACTCACTTATGGCAAAAAGCGATTGAGTTGCGGGGTGAAACAAGAACAATTGCCCTAGATATATCTAAAGCATTCGACAAAGTTTGGCATGAAAATCTGCTCAACAAGCTCAAAGCAATGGGATTATCGCCGAAACTTTGCACTTGGTTTGAAAGTTACCTAAAGGACAGATCCATTTATGTTGCACTGGATGGCCAGAACTCCAACTCTTACCAAATAAATGCTGGTGTGCCACAGGGAGCAATCCTTTCGCCAACTCTTTTTCTGATTTACATAAATGACCCCATAGATAAAACAGTAAATCCACTTTATTGCTTTGCAGACGATGGCAATGTAGTCTCCTTACTCATACCACCCACAGGTCTTTCCGCACGTGAATTCCATCATCTTAGACTAACTCAAATATCGCAGATAAATAACGACCTGGAAATAATAGAGGACTGGGGTAACAAAAACCTTGTACAGTTCAACGCGCAGAAAACCCAAGCAGCTCTGTTTTTTAAAAAAGACCAGCACCGGTGAGCCAAACATCATGCTATCTGGAAGTGCTGTCACATTACAGAGTCAGTTGAACATCTTGGGGGTTACTGCAGAGACCAACATGTCTTGGCACAGTCACGTGGCAGATATTGCTAAAAGGGCCTCCAAAAGCTGGGGGTGCTATTTCGTACAAGACATCTGTACACACCAAGCCAATTGCTGACACTCTACAAAGCCCAGATTCGACCAACTATGGAGTACTGCTCACATATATGGAGTGCAGCACCCAAACATACCTTAATGCTTTTGAATACCGTGCAAAAACGAGCTATCAAGCTGATCAATGACCCCGCACTTACTCGTAACTTGGATGGTCTAGAACATCGCAGATCTGTGGGCGATTTATCTCTCTTCTACAGGTACTATCACGGAAAATGCTCTGAAGAGTTGGCACGTATGATTCCACCGAGAGTAGCACCTACCAGGCGAACCCGTCAAACAGACGGTAACCATGAATTTACTGTCAAACTAGAGGCACCAAGAACCTCATTATATCAGAATTCATATCTCTGGAGAAGAGCATCGCTGTGGAATAAACTCCCTGCGACGGTTTTCCCTGCAGGTTACAACCTGAACCGTTTCAAGACCAACATACACCGACATTTCCGCGCACTTGCCGCTTCTCGAGCGTGATAGGACATTTCCTTGCGAGTGCGCATATCCGTAAAAAAAAAAAAAAAAAATAAGCAGTCAATGTTGAGAACATCCTTTTGTATGAAAAAATCATCAAATTAGAATAATATGTTCTTAACAATAAAATAACTTATTTGGTTCACAAGTACCTATAATGGCCAAGAATGTCAGAAAATCCTTCCTGAATTTCACCTATGCGAAAAAAAAAGAACTCCGAGAACTTCAAGACAGCAGCCCATGTGAAATAAAGCTACTGAACTCTGGAAAAGACACTTCTACTTGCAAGCTAACCGAAGTCAAAATCACACAACCAATAATCAATCGATTGGATAAATCCAATCAATGAGTATTCGTCCTTCCGGCTAAAGTACCTATCGAACCCAAGTGCTTTGGACAAGAAGAAATCAGAAAAGTTATTGAAACCTTTCTAGCCCATATACCAATCAGTTGCCAAATAACTATCTCTTCGAGACTGATAATCAACGAAAGAAAGCTTCTGAAATCCGATGCCCAACCTACACTATTTCCCGACCTTCTAAATGAATTAATGCATTCTCTTAATTTGGGTACACACTTGAAAAACATAAAATTGGACAATCTCCACTAACTAGCTGATGAGATCGTAGAAACTCGTTTGACATTTAGTGAAATCAGAAAACTACCCAGTTTGGGAACCATTCTGATTTATGCCATGATCCTTGCTGGGTGTATGTTGTTCTTGCCTATAAGAAACTAGCACCGAAGTTCAAGAACCGAAGAAGGGACAACCACCCTGAAGAAGAAGCCCAACCAATCCGACTTCCCCGCCTAGCATGAAGTTGCATCCTAAGTATGAAGGAGTAATGTCAGCCCTATTTGCTGACCAAACACATAATCTGCTTGATTCGCTTTTCTATATTATAAATATCGCTTCTCGCCTAGAATAGTTAGTCAGTTTAATTATAATTATATTTCTTATTTTAAACCTTTGTAACGCGTAACGCGAAAGTACTGTATTGTAAATCAGTGAATAAATTGTTTTTTAAAAACTCGTTGATAACTAGAGGAAATTGAGGAGGGAGATAAATAGTTCATTTACTTCCCAAATTTAGTGTTGTAATGGATTATGTGTAACTATCTGGCGGATCAAGGCGTTCAATTGAAACAAAACAAACATTGCAATTCTGCGAAGATATCAAAATAAGTAAGTTCCACGCCTAATAGCTGGAAGAAATATTGTTAAGGTCTACAGCAGTAGACTAGTGGAGGCGAGCAGCAAAATAATTGTTATCGAATCAGTTACCAACCCAACCTGAATATCACAGAACAGGTGAAGGGATAGATGAAGACGTTAGAAAACGCTGGTAGGAGACAATCTGTGAGAACACAGAGGAGTGGAAGAACTGAGATTGTAAATACGAAGAGCGATATAATCCCAATAAAAGATTGAATACCTAAATCATTAGGGTGAGCATAATATGTATAGGGACTTATCTAACCAATTTTATTGTATGGTAAATCAAAGATGGGTAGATTGCTTGTTATAGGGAGACAAAAAAGTTTTGAGCTTCTGATGGCATTTTGCTTTAAAATGGCATCAATCGTACGACTAAAAAAACTTCTGATTTAAATTACCTACTTGTTATGTAAATAGTCTATTGTTATTGTTCAAATACAAATTTTAATAGGATTTGCTTTATAAAAAATTGATACAGCAACAATGAAAGAATCGGCGATTGTGAACACTATAATATTACAATTGTCATTTGTTTAAATGTTACTGGTTCTTCCCACGTTATTAATAATTATCCAAGATTATTATCAAGTTCATGGCATTAGATTATAATGTAGGCAGTATACATATATACGATTTAGAATAAGAGTTTTAGAAATTATGCTATTCAACTAAATATATGCAAACATAAATTTTATTGAAAAATAAATTTTTTTTTCAGCTTAAGAAGAATATGACAACAAAGTTGTGTTCTACAAGGAAAAATAAATGTACGTACGGAACTAGGTACCTATGAATTAGGTAATGCTAAATATAGACACTAATATTAAAATGTATGAATTGAGAATCTTTTGAAAAAAAATTCTTTAAAAAGCTGGAAAATTAAATGAAAATATAGGTATGTATTAGATTAGAAAAATTAATTTGCTTTTTTCAATATTATTTATTATTCATTACAACCGATCTGTGATTTTCGTCGAAACGTCGACGCAGTGGCGCATGATGAGTTTTCTGTCCTATCAATCTCATAATTGGTATTGAAAAATCACAGATAATTAACACACAATAATTAAAATGTAATACTTACAGTGACTGTTCTAGTCCTTTGGGCATAAAGTTCCACTGAACAGAGGAAAAAGAGGATCAAATGGAAAGTCCTCATTTTTGCAGTTTGGTAATTTTAGGAATATTAAGCGATGGCATCAAAAATGTATTCTCCATTAATCCACATTTAGGCTTGTGTAAAGGAAATCCTGAAGAAAAGAAAAAACTATTTTATAACTAAAAATTCAATTCAATTCATTCAAATATTGTACATAAACAATTTTTAATGAGTAAGAGCTACGTTTTGATAGCTTGTATACTTAGACATGTTGGGTAATAAAAAATCGTTTTTCGTGCGTTAAGGGGGGAAAATGCGTAACTTTACTAACCCAGAAAACCATTACAAAAATTTGGTATTGATATTCGCTGAAGAAACTAAAAAAGTTACGCTAGTCAGCTTGATATCTAAATGGGTTTCTCGGTTTTGTGGTTAACGGACTGAAAATTCTGCAATGAGCCGTGTGTAATGTGACTTAATTAGAATTAGAAAATAAACGAAGTTAAAATAGATAAGTATACAATGGTGACTTTTCATTCGAACAAATTCAACATCTTAGATATATGTTTTTTCATTAAACATTCAATGCTCATTCAAGGTAGATAATTTCTTTGTTTCTGGTGGTTATTTCTGGATATCATGTTCCCTATCAACGATTATGACCTTAATCTTATTGTAGTTGATACTGGGAACACATGCTGCACTATGTTGTTCTAACATGTTAAGTAAGGTTACCAATTCACCCTGAGAAGAAGCAATAAGAGTATAGTATCGTCGGCAAACAAAATTGTGACAAGTGCTTAAAACTATGCCTTAATACCAAGGAGGACAGTTTTGGGGAGGTAATAATATAACCCGCTCAATTTTATCTGTATTTTTGCTTTTTTTGTATTTTCTGGGTAAGGTTAGATCAATTCTTGCAATTCTTGCACCTTGAATGCTCCAGTGTTCCACAGAGCAGAACGCCTTGAGATCTTGAGAGCGATATGATCTGTGTTTTATTCTTGAAAATATACGAAAATGGTGTATTGAGATGCAGATATTAAAGGAAATTGAACGTCCCTAAGTTAGCAAATTTCTTCAAATTTAATTGAGTTTCCAGGGTTTCTCAACAACTGCGACCCTAAAAATATGCTAAAACGCACTCGGCAACTGGCAAAGCATTTTCACTATTAATAGTTCAATAACTTCTTAAAAAAAAACTTTGTTAGTGATTTTACGGAGTCAATACCTCATAGTTCAGTTAGACAGGTTCAAATTACTTATACAGGGTGTTAATAAATAGTGGGATCAAACGTCTAGGATAAATAGTACTCATTAAAATAAGAAAAAAGTTAATAGAAACATAGGTCCGCAAATGCTTAGTTTTCGAAATACAGGGTGTCAAATATAATATAATTTAATCTGTAACTCAGTGGCGTGCTCAGATTTAATGTATTAATAAACTTAATAGAAGGCGACCAATTTCAAGTGCTGCAAAGACAAGTCTCAAAACAGCTGGTTTTTTATTGTGTGTAAAAATTTATTCTATTCCAGCTGCTTGAAACGAACCAATAAATATGAAACCATCAACCAAAACTCAATATGGTGTTCCAGAAAATGCGCTAAAGAAGCTTCTGATCAAGAACCCGAAATAGTTGACGATCCACAAAGCATAATTATAGAACTTAAGAACTAACTGGATTCTTTTTGATCCATCTTATCCGCTCATCTTAAAAAAATTAAAAGAAACTCCTGCGTAATGGAAGATGAAGCGTTTAAAGCTGAACGTAAGCTACTATAGAGGAAATTGACACAAAGAGAAAAATTATCAAGGACTTTAAGGTAACTATACAGCAGCTGAAACAACAACTTGTATACAATTCAACAGAGCAAACTGAGGTATCTACACTACACCATCAGACTCAGACTAATCGGAAAAACCTGGATATAGAGATATAAAAGTTGAAACAAAGGGTATCTTCTCAAAGCATTGAAATAGCTAACTTTGAGCAAATTATTAGGAAATATAAAGAGTAAATGGACTGACTGCAGAGAGTGATTTGATTGCTGCAGAAAACAAAAAGCTGAGGAATGAAATATTTAATATGATAAATGAAGGGGAGAATCAGAGATCAGCTGGAATATCCAGGGCAGCTGATGATAGTTCAGCTGAGTGTCTGAAAATTGTTACCATTTCTAAACATGATGGAATTCATCAACCTAAAATAATCATATTGACAGGCGACTATGGGAAATATGTATATATAGGGCTTTGAAATGTAGGTTTAAACTCTAGTTGATATGTAAACCTTTTGCAAAATTTAAGGAAACTATATCAAGTATCAGTTGCTTCACATCTGAACTGACTGATAAAGATTACTTTTGGTTTTGGCCGAGGTAAATAACTGTGATATAGCCCTGAAAGACATTACTTGGCTTGCAAATCAATGTTTTTATACTAAACTGCTGGACACTCGAACTTTCACATATACAGATTTTTAGACCAAATTCAAAATTCCATATTTTCGACACAAATAATTTTTTTTTAACGCGGTTTGTGGATTTTAATAGCTTGTTTTTTGCGGATAAAGCTTGACGTAAATTTCTCATAGGACCATAGGGTTACGATATACGGGGCGATAAAATTCAGTTTTGCTTTAAAATCTGTATGTGTAAGTTCAAGTGTCCAGCAGTTTAGTTTAATTTTGTGTTCAATTCCTATTAATCGGCATTTTTTTTTTTTTTTACGGATATGCGCACTCGCAAGGAAATGTCCTATCACGCTCGAGAAGCGGCAAGTGCGCGGAAATGTCGGTGTATGTTGGTCTTGAAACGGTTCAGGTTGTAACCTGCAGGGAAAACCGTCGTAGGGAGTTTATTCCACAGCGATGCTGTTCTCCAGAGATATGAATTCTGATATAATGAGGTTCTTGGTGCCTCTAGTTTGACAGTAAATTCATGGTTACCGTCTGTTTGACGGGTTCGCCTGGTAGGTGCTACTCTCGGTGGAATCATACGTGCCAACTCTTCAGAGCATTTTCCGTGATAGTACCTGTAGAAGAGAGATAAATCGCCCACCGTTCTGCGATGTTCGAGACCATCCAAGTTACGAGTAAGTGCGGGGTCATTGATCAGCTTGATAGCTCGTTTTTGCACGGTATTCAAAAGCATTAAGGTATGTTTGGGTGCTGCACTCCATATATGTGAGCAGTACTCCATAGTTGGTCGAATCTGGGCTTTGTAGAGTGTCAGCAAATGGCTTGGTGTGTACAGATGTCTTGTACGAAATAGCACCCCCAGCTTTTGGGAGGCCCTTTTAGCAATATCTGCCACGTGACTGTGCCAAGACATGTTGGTCTCTGCAGTAACCCCCAAGATGTTCAACTGACTCTGTAATGTGACAGCACTTCCAGATAGCATGATGTTTGGCTCACCGGTGCTGGTCTTTTTTGAAAACAGAGCTGCTTGGGTTTTCTGCGCGTTGAGCTGTACAAGGTTTTTGTTACCCCAGTCCTCTATTATCTCCAGGTCGTTATTTATCTGCGATATTTGAGTTAGTCTAAGATGATGGAATTCACGTGTGGAAAGACCTGTCGGTGGTATGAGTGAGGAGACTACATTGCCATCGTCTGCAAAGCAATAAAGTGGATTTACTGTTTTATCTATGAGGTCATTTATGTAAATCAGAAAAAGAGTTGGCGAAAGGATTGCTCCCTGTGGCACACCAGCATTTATTTGGTAAGAGTTGGAGTTCTGGCCATCCAGTGCAACATAAATGGATCTGTCCTTTAGGTAACTTTCAAACCAAGTGCAAAGTTTCGGCGATAATCCCATTGCTTTGAGCTTGTTGAGCAGATTTTCATGCCAAACTTTGTCGAATGCTTTAGATATATCTAAGGCAATTGTTCTTGTTTCACCCCGCAACTCAATCGCTTTTTGCCATAAGTGAGTGACGTATGTAAGTAAATCGCCAGTTGACCTATATTTTCGAAATACGTATTGCTTATCGTTGATAATTTTGTACTTTTCCAAGTACTTGGTTAGGTGATTGTTCACAACTCTTTCCATTACTTTTGATATCACCGTAAGTAGAGCAATTGGTCTATAGTTTAACGGATCTGTCTTTTTTCCTTTCTTTGGAATGGGTTGTACTGCGGCAGACTTCCATGATGATGGATATACTCCTTGCCTGTAAGACAAATTGAATAATTTTGCGAAAGTTGGGGTGAGTTCGTTGGCGCAATTTTTAATTTTGTGTTCAATTCCTATTAATCGGCATTGCTCAGATACTATCAGAAATAATCTTAAGTATATAAATAACAAATTGCGTAGTGTTACAGATAGATTGAAATTTTTCTCGAGTAGCGTAGATTTTCTTGACTTGGAGTGTAGGTTTGGGGCTTCTGAATATGTTAAGAATAAAATATATTTGAATGGGCAGGGTCTGTCTAGATTAGCAAACTTAATTTCTTCTTCTATTGGCACATTTTTTACTGGACTCGGATCTGATTTACTATATATAAAAACAAAGCCTTCATTAACGAATGTTGACAATGATGGACACAATGGGCATGAGAAGGTGATTGTCACCACCAGATCCACAACTTTAGGTTTATGAAGGTATGCTCTCGCAATCTTTTTTAGAAAAAGGCCAAAACGAAGCTCAACAGAATTCTTAACATCTTCAGAACTTACATTTTAAACATACAGTCACTGAGAAATAAAACTTATGAGTTTGATGCGTTTCTTGAAACTGAGAAAAAAACCACATGTCCTGTTACTGACAGAGCATTGGCTAAGGGATGGTGAACCTTGTATTATAGTTAATTATAGTGCATTAAGTTCATAGTGTAAAAAAAATTCTCTCAATGGGGGTACAATCATTTTAGTGAAAGATGATGTTGCAGGGGGCTTTCCCTTGGCCAATATGACAAAACATGAGCACCTGATTAAGGAAGGTGTATTTGAGTTCTCCTTGGTTTTTAATTGTATAAATGATTTGTACATAGTTTGCGTCTACCGACCCCCCAAGGGTAATATTGTTGACTTTTTGGAGAGATTGGAATCTTTGCTCACATGTTTTTCACTGAACTCAAGAGTGATATTGGCGGGTGATCTTAATATCAAATATAATGAAGTGGGTTCAGCGTGTGTTCGGAATCTGGTAAA